ATGCACAACAATAGCTGCAAATTATTTCTTGCAGCATTGGTTCATGCTTGTCATCTGGGATCTTATGTTTGTCATCTGCAATATATGAACAAGTATAATCTTTCTCACAGAGGCAATCTGAGTTAACACTCTAAAAGGAGGTAGAGGGAGTTTTTAGGGTAATTGGGGTCATTTGAACATGGACTGTACATTAAATGATATTACTGAGTAATGTTAATTTTCTGAGCTATGATGATGGTATTGTGGCTAAGGGTAGGAGACCGTCCTTGTTCATATGAGATGCACACTTAAATTTCGTAGGATGAAGTATCACAATGTCTGCAACTTACTTTCAAATAGTTCATTCAAAACAAACATTCATACAAGCACACACGCGCGCACACACACACACACATACTCACACACACACAGAGTAAAACAAATCATACAAGCACACGCGCGTGCACACACACATATACTCACACACACAGAGTAAAACATTCATACAAGCACACACGCATGCACACACACATATACTCACACACACACAGAGTAAAACATTCATACAAGCACACGTGCGTGCACACACACATATACTCTCACACACACACAGAGTAAAACATTCATACAAGCACACGCGCGTGTGCACACACATAGGAAATTGTTCAATGGACTTAAACAGATAAATGCCTATCTCTAATGCAGAGCTCAACAGCTAATCCTACAGTCCAAGTACTGTACCAGCTTGATAAGGTCCAGGTATCTCTAAAAATGAGATTTTTTTTATGGGAAGGGTAGACTCAAACTGAGTGAGTCCCCCAAAATTAAAGTACATACAGCATTAGAGAGTTGGTCTAATCAGTGGTGAATAAAGAGCCACTCTACGAAAAAGGAGAGCCACTGAGCTGCTTAACTGGGTCCTCAGCTGTAGCTGGCTCAAAACCCAAGTGATTCCCAAGATTGTAGACACTTACTAAGCTTATGCACAACAATAGCTGCAAATTATTTCTTGCAGCATTGGTTCATGCTTGTCATCTGGGATCTTATGTTTGTCATCTGCAATATATGAACAAGTATAATCTTTCTCACAGAGGCAATCTGAGTTAACACTCTAAAAGGAGGTAGAGGGAGTTTTTAGGGTAATTGGGGTCATTTGAACATGGACTGTACATTAAATGATATTACTGAGTAATGTTAATTTTCTGAGCTATGATGATGGTATTGTGGCTAAGGGTAGGAGACCGTCCTTGTTCATATGAGATGCACACTTAAATTTCGTAGGATGAAGTATCACAATGTCTGCAACTTACTTTCAAATAGTTCATTCAAAACAAACATTCATACAAGCACACACGCGCGCACACACACACACACATACTCACACACACACAGAGTAAAACAAACATACAAGCACACGCACGTGCACACACACATATACTCACACACACACACACAGAGTAAAACAAATATCTCATACAAGCACGCGCGTGCACACACACACATATACTCACACACAGAGTAAATATTCATACAAGCACACGCTGCACACACATATCACCACACAGAGTAAACATTTACATAAGCACACACGTATGCACACACACATACTTCACACACACACAGAGTAAAACATCTATACAAGACACACAGTGCACACACATATACTCACACACAGAGTAAAACAGTCATACAAAGCAGGACACGGCGCGCGCACACACATATAATACCACACACACACAGAGTAAAACAGCTCACAGCACATGCACGCACACACATATACTCACACACACACACAGAGTAAAACAGTTATACATACACACGGCGTGCGCACACACATATACTCACACACACACACACACAGAGTAAAACATTCATATGCTTAAACAGTCATCGCATAAGCGCACACACATATACTCACACACACAGAGTAAAACATTCATACAAGCACACACGCGTGCACACACACATATACTCACACACACACAGAGTAAAACAAACATCTATAATACAAGCACACGTGCGTGCGCACACACATATACTCACACACACACAGAGAGTAACAGAAATTGAGAAGCGCTTGACTAACATACCAATTTCATAAAAGCCTAGGGAACTGGTATCACCAAGTACTTCTGGTAGCAGAGGTAGAAGGGGAGGAGTGGCTAAAGTAAGTAGGATTGGCTGAAATTCTGTGTAATTCCATCCTTCCCAGCTCCATGCAGTCAGGCTACTGAACCCAGAAGAAGATGGGTTTATTCTCTAAAGAAGGTAAAGCAGAGGGTCTTCTTTAACTGAGGTCAATAAGTAAGGGTACTAACAATAAGTACCCTTATTGTTGAGTGTCTGAGTACTTATTATAAACATGGATGTTAACTGAATATTTATATCCTAAATGCTGGGCATTCCCGCCTTCTTCCTGCACCTGGAAGCTAGCAACCAGACTTTAACATCCAGGAAACAGCGTGGAAGATACTTCTTTACAGAGAATATGACTAGCCCGTAAGAAAAGTCCTAAAGATACTGCCACTGGGGTGTCATCAACAACACAGCCCAGCCAGATCCCCCTAACTATAGGTGTGGGTAGATACCACCTATAGGTTGACCAACCCAATCCACACACCACTACTCTTTTTTTCTTTTTTTTGAGACGGAGTCTCACTCTGTCACCCAGGCTGGAGTGCAGTGGTGTGAACTCAGCTCACTGCAAGCTCCGCCCACAGGTTCACACCATTCTCCTGCCTCAGCCTTCTGAGTAGCTGGGACTACAGGCACCCGCCAACACGCCTGGCTAATTTTTTGTATTTTTAGTAGAGACTGGGTTTCACTGTGTTAGCCAGGATGGTCTCGATCTCCTGATCTTGTGATCCACCCTCCTTGGCCTCCCAAAGTGCTGGGATTATAGGCGTGAGCCACTGTGCCCAGCCGCCACTACTCTTGAGAGCAGCCAAACAAACAGCATGAGGCATCAGAGGAAGCCTCTAGTATAAAAAGCAGAGACAAAAATGCAACAGAGACTATAAAGGGAGAAAACTTAGTTAAAAAATCAAAACTACCACTAATACACTCAGATAACATGCTGCAACCATGAAATAAGAACAGACTACTATACAAAGAGATAATGTAGAGGGGAAAAAAACTTTTGAAAATTAAAAATATGATAGCAGAAATTTTTAAAAACTCAATAAAGGGATCAGAACATAGTCTCTTCCACAAAAAGATGTGAAACAGAAAAGAGAGAAAATAAGAAAACTGAAGTGTCAGTCCAGAAAGTCCTACATCTTTTTTTTTTTTTCAGACAGAGTTTCACTCTTGTCGCCTAGGCTGGATTGCAACGGCGCAATCTCAGTTCACTGCAACCTCCATCTCCTGAGTTCAAGCAATTCTCCTGTCTCAGCCTCCCAAGTGGCTGGGATTACAGGCACGCACCACCAGGCCCAGCTAATTTTGTATTTTTAGTAGAGACAGGGTTTCGGCATGTTGGTCAGGATGGTCTTGAACTCCTGACCCCAGGTGATTGGCCTGCCTAGGCCCACCAAAGCGCTGAGATTATAGGCATGAGCCACCACGCCTGGCCCAGGAAGTCTTACATCTGAATAATAAATTCCAGAAAAAGCAAACAGAAAAAAGTCGGTAAGACACTATGATGATATTAAATATTCAATTAATATCCATGTTTACTGAAAGGCATGAGATTCCACATTGAAAGGGCCCTTCACGTGCCCAGCATGACTGATAAAAATAGACTCACACAAAGGACCATTGTCATTAAATTTCAGAACACTAGAAACAAAGAGAAACATCCTACGAACTTCCAGAGAGGAAAAAACAGGAATCAAAGTTTCAAATAATTTACTTCCCATGTACCCTTTCTCAAGAAACTATGGGAGGGAATGCTCTACCAAATCCACAGAAAATCAAGAGAAGAGGACTTGAGACACAGGAACCATGTAAAAGCCAGCACAAGAAGGAGAAGCCATCTCCCCAGGAGGATGGTGAGGGGCATCCCAGGAGAGCTGTGCTCAAGGAAAGTGGTTGGGCAAGACGTGTGAAGAGTTCTCCAAGGAGGTAAATCCATAGAATGCCTCATGTGCCTGAACATAAAAGGAGATTAAGACCACTGGGGATGAGTTTGGGGTTGAAATTTGAAATACTAATAATACAAAACTTAAAAAGTAAGGCAATTATTAATGCCAGGGAAAACAAAAAGTGGTGCAGGAAAGGAGAATTTATCATCAATTCAAGGCTCAACTATGAACAGGTTTATGTAATCATAGTCAGAGAAAACAGATCTAACCAAAGTTTTATATCTATATGGGAGTAATAATGGGAATAGAAAAGGTGAACGCATTATGATAAGAGGCAAAAAGACAGACAGAAACAAAGTCTTCATCTTCCTTAGAAGTCATTAGATAATTCCTCAAGTTCATAAGTCAGGAAGCAGCAAGACAGTGTGGCATTGGGAAGTCTGGATGTAAATGCTAAAAGGATGCGTCAAAAGAGCTTAAAGTGAAAGCCACTGAGAGGGGAACAATGAAGAATAAGGGGACAGGAGATCACTGGATTTTTGTTACTTTTTTTGTAATAAATCTTTGACTACATATATTTATATGTAAATGTGTATATATAAAGAGACTACATATAAATATATGATTTTTATACATGTATAAGATACATAACTTTAATATAAATTATACATATAATTTTTGTATATACAACTTAAGAAAATATGTATGTATAACTAAGAAAGCAAAAATATTGTGAAATATTGCTTACCAAGTTATTATATATTTTAAAAATTCTTCTTTATTATCAAACTATAGGTAAATTATAGAAGTATTTCATTAGATATTACCCATTACATTTGAACAATATAAAAGAATCTGCTTTCATATTAAATTATTAGTCTATTTAGGTGTACATGATAATTATCATAGCATATATAAGTACTGATTCCAAGTATTTTTGGCCAATTTCATTTCACAACATAATATAAAGTACTGGTGGTTATATAAAGTACTCACCAGCTCTAGTGGACTAAGACGTGTGCCAGAGATAGGCCTGGAATCAGATGACTCAAAACTGGATGCATGGAGGCTAGCATAAAAGATGGTGCAGAGTGTTAGTTTGTGAAGAATTATTTCTTTATTTATAGTATATATTAGTTAACACTAGCTAAAAAGCAAGTAAAAGGATGCGATGCATAAGCCTTGAGGAAAACATTTTTTAATGTTATTGTACTTAAAACAGTTTATTAAGAAGTCTTTTGATTACATTTAGGAAGTTTGAAATATACTGAATAATGAAAAGAATAAGTGTATAGAGGAATTTTTTAAAAAGCTTTGTTCATATCACTTCAGAAAGCTGGTATGGGACAACCGCTAGTAACCATTTCATTCCAAAGTAACTTCCTGAACCAGTGTTTGGAATCACTTCTAGGAATCTTGAACAAAATTCAAACTTAAAAAGACAACTACCTTGAAAATCAATCAATGTAATCTATCACACCACAAGCTAAAAAAGATACAGAAAATACAAGCTAAAGAAGATACATATTAGCAGATATAGAAAAGGCATCTGGCAAAATCCAACACTCATAATAAAAATTCTTAGCAAACTAGGAATAGAAGAAAACTTCTAAGAATATCTACAAGAAACCTACAGCTAACATCATATTTACAGTAAGAAAGAGTTTTCCCACTAAGATGACGAAGAAAGCAAGGATGTCCCCTCTTACTACTGCTTTTCAGTATCATACAGAACATCCCAGCTAATGCAATAAGAAAAAGAAATTAAAAGCATACAGATTGGGAAGGAAGAAATAAAACTCTTTGTTTGCAGATAACAGGATTATCTATGTAGAAAATCCTAAAGAACTGACAAAACCTCCTGGAACTAATAAGTGATTATAGTACGGTTGCAAGATACAAGGTTGGAAACTGAAATGAAAACATATTATCATTTATATTAGCACTCCAAAAATTAAATACTTATAAATCTAACAAGATATGGATAAAATCTAGATGAGGAAAGCTACAAAACTCAGTGAAAGAAATCAAAAAACTAGGAAAATGGAGAGATCTTCCATTTTCATGGCTAGGAAGACTCAATGTTATCAATATGTCAGTTTTTCCCAACTTGATCTATAGATTCAATGCAATCTCAATCAAAATCCTGGCAAGTCATTTTGTAGATATTGACAAACTGATTCTAAAGTTTCTATGGAGAGACAAAAGACCCAGAATAGCCAACACAATGTTGAACAAGAAGAACAAATGTAAAGGACTGACACTCCCTGACTTTAAGACATATTATAAAGCTACAATAATAAAGACAGTATAGTACTGGTGAAAGAATAAACAAATAGATCAATGGAACAGAATAGAGGGCCCAGAAGTAGACTGACATAAATACAGTCAACTGATCTTTGACAAAGGAGCAAAGGCAATACCATGGAGAAAACATAGCTTTTTCAAAAACTGGTGCTGGGCTCTTTCATGGAGGTGGAGGCTCGATGCATTCAAGATCCACCTTCACTCATAACCCATTGCCATGGCCAAAGAAGACACTGCTGCTGGAGGTGCAGTGGATGTTAATACTGCTTTAAAAGAGGTGCTGAAGACCAGTCTCATCCAGGACAGCCTAGCACATGGAATTTGCAAAGCTGTCAAAGCCTCAGACAAGAGCCAAGCCCATCTTTGTTGCTTCCATCTAACTGTGATGAGCCTGTCTATGTCAACTTGATGGAGGCCCTTTGAGCTGAACACCAAATCAACCTAACTAAGGTTGATGACAAGAAACTAGGGTAATGGGTAGGTTTCTCTAAAACTGACAGGGAGGGAAACCCCATAAAATGGTTGGTTGTAGTTGTATTGTAGGACTATGGAAAAGAGTCTCAAGCCAAGGATGTTATCAAAGAGTACTTCAAATGCAAGAAATTGACAAGTAAAACCTTGGCTCATATTCCTAAAAAACAAACAAACAAACAAAAAACAGTGCTAGGACAACTGGACATCAACCATCTATATGCAAAACAAAAACAAAACACAAACCTAACACCCTTCACAAAAATTAACTCAAAATGGGTCATAGACCTAAATGTAAAACACAAAACCATAAAATCCCTAAAACATAACACAGGACAAAGTCTAGAAAACCTTGGGTATTCCGGTGACTTTTAATATACAACACCAAAAGCAAGATCCATGAAAGAAATTGGTAAGCTTGACTTCATTAAAATTAAAATTTTCTGCTCTGCAAAAGACACCATCAAGAGAAGAAGAAAAGCCGCAGAGCAGGAGAAAATATTTGCAAAAGACATGTAAGATAACGAATTGTTATCCAAAACACACAAATAATTCTTAAAATTCAACAAGAACACAAACAACCCATTTAAAAAATGGGCCACAGACCTTAACAGACGCCTGACCAAAGAATACACACATATGTAAAATAAATATATAAAAAGATGCTCCACATCATATGTCCAGGGAAAGTAAATTAGAACAATGAGATACCACTACACACGCATTAGAATGGCCAAAATCTAGACCACTGACAATGCCAGTGCTGGCAAGGATGTGAGGAACAGGAACTCTCATTCATTGCTGGTGAGAATGCAAAATGATACAGCCCGTTTGGAAGACAGCTTGGCAGTTTCTTACAAAGCTAAACACAATCTTCCCATACGATCCAGCAATCACGCTCCTTGGAATTTACCCAAAGGGGTTGAAAACTTCGACAGGTGTGATGGCTCATGCCTGTAATCCCAGCACTTTGGGAGGCCAAGGCGGGCGGATCACGAGGTCAGGAAATCGAGACCATCCAGGCTAACATGGTGAAACCCTGTCTCTACTAAAAATACAAAAAAAAAATTAGCTTGGTATGGTGGCGAGCACCTATAGTCCCAGGTACTCGGGAGACTGAGGCAGGAGAATGGCATGAACCCGGGATGCAGAGCTTGCAGTGAGCCGAGATCGCACCACTGTACTCCAGCCTGGGCAACAGAGCAAGACTCCATCTCAAAAAAGAAAAAAAAAAGAAAACTTATGTTCACACAGAAACTTATACATGGATGTTTATAGCAGCTTTATTTGTAATCGCCAAAACTTGGCAGCAAATGAGATATCCTTCAGTAGATGAATGGATAAACTGTGGTATAACCAGACAATGGAATATTATTCAGCACTAAAAAGAAATGAGCTATTCAAGCCATGATAAATCGTGGAGGAAACTTATTACTAAGTCAAAGAAGCCAATTTGAAAAGGTGACATACTATATATTCCAACTATATGACATTCTGGCAAAGGCAAAACTGTGGAGACAGTAAAAAGATCAGTGGTTGCTAGTGGGTGGGGGAAGGAAGTGAAAAATAAGCAGAGCAAAGAATTTGTAGGACAGTGAAACTACTCTGTGTAATATTATAATAGTGGTTACGTGTCATCAGAAATTTGTCCAAACACATAAAATGTACAACACCAAGAGTGAACCCTAATGTGAACTACAGCCTTTGAGTGATAATGGTGTGTCAAAGTACGTTCGTCGATTGTAACCAATGTACCACTCTGGTGGGGGATGGTGATAATGAGATGCTGTGGATGTGTTGTAGTAGGGGGTACATGGGAAATCTCTGTACCTTCCACTCAATTTTGCTGTGAACTTAACACTGTTCTAAAAAATAAGTCTATTTTTAAAAATTATCCATAAGAATTAAGGGAAAGTATAACCTGTTGTTTAAATATCTGAGCGAACATGAATGCGAAATACCATATACCTGAAGGAGGAAGGAGGTCTATTTTCTGACGTTCTTGAGGATGCAGGTCCGAATAGTTTTCTTTGGGCTTCCTGTGGTGTAAATGGTCTTTGGGTTCTAACTGTTCTTAATGCATTTCGTGCTTCACTTATGATTTCTGCACTGGTCTTCTGCTTGGACACTGAAGATCGATAAAATGGATCCAGTTTTCCTAACATTTTATCATCTGGAGACAGCATCCTTCCTTTGAAAGTAAAATATTCTTCAGATAGACACCATGCCCTGCAAATACATGGTACAAAACCCATTAATTATTTTTATCCAGGACTTTATAAAAATGAATGCTTAAGCCTATCCATATATTAAACCATTCCTCTATATTAAGCTTTAAAAATTTGAATGAATTTTTAATTAAAAATCCACCAAGCAGTTAGAAGGTTAGGATCTGAGAACAACTCTCAAAAATGTAGAGAGGAAAATTTCCTCAAAAATGTACAACTGAGGAAAAAGATGCGCAGGGAAGAAACCCAGGATAAAAGCTAAACCCAGAGAGAAAGACTAACCATGAAAGAAGACAGAATAGGAAGAGCGAATCATCTCATGGTCTTCAGCCTACAAAAAACACTGAGGGTTCTGTTAAAATGTTTACAGTTTCCTTTTCTTCCCCACTGCCCTCCACACTATGTGATACTATAAGGTTAAATTTTAGACAGAAATGTTGTATTTCTAAAGGACACTTGATTTTGCAACAAACCTCAGAGAATGGTTCAGCCCCACATTTGTCCATGATACAACTGAATGAATTGATTCAACTCACCTATAATTTGAGGTAGTGACCTAAGTAAATAAATACCAAATATCAATACCAACTGATCCTTTCCCAACACCCCTTTCTGAAAGAGTTAAAGTCATTACAAGGGCCATGAGAATGCAGATCCTTCTCAAACGTTGGTGTGTTCCATGGAGATAAATCTGAACTTTAAAATAGGACAGATTTTTAAAACGTAATTCTAATGAGTACGTGGCATTAGGTGTTTCTTAAAAAAAAAAAACTCGAACCCCACAAAATGCCATATCTCTAGAGAGAGAGAGGTCTACATGGATTTTCCACCTATTTCAGTTGCCCAATTTTAGAATAACTTCTGCAAAACAGAAAACTGCTTTGTGACATATTCCCCAGGAAACTAAAAAGATTCCATTTCTATAAGTAGAATTAACAGGTGATTCCTTAGACAAAAAAGATTTACTATATTATGATTCTAAACATTGTTACATAACAACAGACAACAAGAACATTTGTTTAGCTCAACACAGGCCCCAACCCAAGAGTTTCTGATGAAAACTATAAACGATATGTCATACTTTTCATATGGAAATGCCAGGTGTTGAGTTAAAATAGTAAAAAAATTACTTGATAAGCAATGCTATTTTAGGAATTTTTGATACAGGATTTTGAATTTAAGCACAGTCCCTACAATTATGTTCATTAATATAACTATCAAAAACGATGAGGGGCCTAGTACATTTTATTTCTAATACTTTTGAAATGATTGGCTTTCACTTTAAAATATTCAATGATAATTATTTAAAATATATACACAATTTTTTATATCTACATATATGTATATTATTTTTGGATGCATAATACAAATTCAGTCCCATAACATCTAACTTAAGCGGCCATGACAGGTTTGTTGGTCTGTTTCTAAAAGACCTACTGCAGTAAGAAATTGTGCCACTAAGTGAGAAGAGGTTTCTGCACAATCAACAGGCTTCTTCCAGAGCCTAAATCAGGTTTGCCACCCCTTTGGCCTCACATGGCACTAATTAGTCTAACAATGTCCAAAAGTAATCTGGCAAATCTAATAAAGATTAGAGAAAGTTCTGTGGGGAGTAATAACGGACTCTCACTCCTGACCTAAGATTCTCTCTGGCTATCTTTGAGTTTGTATTAAAAACTATACTCTTTCAGAGAGTGATGAAGCAGGAACATTTACTCAGGTCAAATTCTTTCTGTGAATTACCCGAGGGCATACAGGAATTTAGACTGACCAAATACTATACTGACAGAAACAATGTAGTTACAGGGCTAAAAATATTTTTGTCTATAATTTTTACCAAAAATTCTAACACAACTTTCTCTATCCTTCTTCTTCTCTTTTTCCACCAAATCTCACTTTAACAATTATATTGTGAGAAACTTGTACAATAATGTAAAATCTGCACAATATGTTATGATCATATGTTAATATTCACTAAATCAATCATGGAAATATTTAATAATACATGTGAACTGACTTAGAAGAATTAGAAGTGGGGCTTTGGGCGGAGAACTTTTAAATTGATATTTGTTAAACTACAAATTATTATAGATGGTTTTTGCCAACTTGAAAAATTAATCACTCAGGACCTGAAAGCTTATATCCTTAAAGTATACCTGAACCATAACACAATAATCCTACAGAAATTCTAACTTTACAAAATTTTTCTGCCAAGTCGAGCAAATCCATTCAGCCAGTAGTACTGATTAACTGTTTCCTAAGAGGAACACAAAACCATCTTCACTCTCAAGCAAGCACCACTAATGTGAGATAAACATTTACTTTAACACCAAGCACTGTGCTAAGTACTCTTGACTGCATTATCTCAATTAACCCCACAACAACTTTGCAAGGTGGACAGAGTCTTTTTAAAAAAATAACTAGAGATGAGGTCTCACTGTGTTGTCCAGGCTGGTCTCAAACTTCTGGGCTCAAGCTATTCTCCTTGGCTTCTTGAAGTGCTGGGATTACAGGTGTGAGCCACCATGTAATCTATGGACTGGACAGGGTCTTAAGCAATAGAAAAAAAGCTATGATACATGCCCACAGATAATATTCAAACTCCTACCCACTAGATGGGGTGGTAGGAGGTGGGGCACTTAAAGGCATTGGGGCTGCAACTATTAACCCACTCACATAGAGACCCCAATATTTTCCCAACAGGAACAGCCTTCTTGGTACGTACCAGCTGAGTATTTACCCTGCTTATACTCAAATGATTTAAATACAAGGTAGAAACTGATGGCAGCAATAAAAAAAAAAAAAAAATAGAGACAAATTATTTATGTGATCACAAAGGAAGAAGAGATTTCTGATTGGGGGAAGACATCAGGTAGACTTCCTGGAAGAGGTGTTGCTTGAGCTAGGTTGTGAAAAAAGGGCTGAATTTGAGCAAGTGGCAGTGGCTGGCACTGGAGCTGGAGTAGAGAAGGAAGTTCCAACAAAGTCAGCAAGTGAGCCAACGCAAAGCATCAAGACATACAGGGTGTGTGTGGACAAGGGGAACTCTGAAAATGGTGATTGGGGCTGAACCAATTAAATTAAATGGCGAGAATTTAAAAGTTGATGAGCAGATCAAATAACAACATTTTGAGGGATGATGTGATCTGGCAGAGATGGGCAGGAAGGAAAGGAGGGCAAAGATCAGAAGTAGTGAAATCAGACAGTTTTTATGTGATCACCCAGCTAACTCTCAAAGGTCATTTCCTCAAGGAAGCTTTCCTGAACATGCCTCTCCCACCCTGCTAGCCTGAGTTAAGGGCCCCTCCTCCAGACTCCACAAAGGCCCCCAGCTGGTCTCTGCCACTCCACCCTCCCACTGTGTTAGAATTGCCTGTGCATGTGGTATTGGCCCGAGACTCTCCGCCCCAACCCTCCACGTGAGGCACAGCTGAAGGTCAACACTTACATAATCACTAGACTCCATTTTTTAAATATAGACTTGAGCTAAGACATTTTCGGATGAAGGCTGCATAGTTTCTCTAACTGGAGATATTTGTTACAGTGAATTATGAAATCTGGACCTTATTTCAAATCTGTCTTGATGTTATGTGGTCAGATGAGTTCAGATTTAGCCTCCTTTCCCTGACTTGCCTTTATTTCAAGTTGCCTGGCACAGAGTAGGACTCAATGTTGTGATGAATCAGTGAAGTATGGAAAGCCTGAGATACAGGAGTCAAGGTGAAGCAGAGGTTAGAGGAGAGACGATAACAAGTGAGGTGCACTGAGAACAGAATTAAAAACTGAGAACAGAATTAACAGGATTTGGCATCCATGATTCCAGGAAGAGGCCAGAAACAACACCGGGTATGCAAATCTAGGGGAGCCAGAGGGCAAGGAGCCTTTTAAAAGAAACAGGAGAAGCAGACTTCAAGAGGAAAGAAGAAAGAGGTTGAGTTCTGTCTTGCATCACACTATCCTGAGTCTGTCGTATCCACAGGACCTCTAGAGGGTGAAATTTCCAGCAATAGGAAATTTGAAAGTGAAGAACTTTTTTTTCAACAAGATATTTCTTATTGGTCTGGGGGAAAGTTCAGAGTCATAATTTATAGAAGTTTATAACTAATTATAAAGACCTGTCTTTACTGTTGCTGCTAATAGCCACTGAACCAGAGCCTTCTTGCTAAATGCAACACTGCGCTACCAGGATGTCTGCAACAGGGGAAAAGCAGGCCAGTTTCATAGTCTTCCCTGCAAATCAAACACTCAGGACCCTTCCGTAACTCTGAATCATTTTTGTATTAATATGAGCATCCAAAGAGGCAGTGGTTAAGTGCTTAGATGCTGGAGTAAGGGTTTAAATGCTGACAATTCACAGCCATGTGACCTTGGGCAATGCCTCTAATATCTCTAAGCATCAGTTTTCTCATCTGTAAAAGGTGCATGGTAATAATTGCCTCATAGGATTGTTTGAAGAATTAAATTATATAATACATGTAAAGTGCGTTAGCACGGTGCTTAAAAAATTTTTTTTTTTTTTTTTTTTTTTTTTTGAGATGGAGTCTCGCTCTGTCGCCCAGGCTGGAGTGCAGTGGCTGGATCTCAGCTCACTGCAAGCTCCGCCTCCCGGGTTTACGCCATTCTCCTGCCTCAGCCTCCCGAGTAGCTGGGACTACAGGCGCCCGCCACCTCGCCCGGCTAGTTTTTTGTATTTTTTTTAGTAGAGACGGGGTTTCGCCGTGTTAGCCAGGATGGTCTCGATCTCCTGACCTCATGATCCGCCAGTCTCGGCCTCCCAAAGTGCTGGGATGACAGGCTTGAGCCACCGCGCCCGGCCAATGTTAACATTTTTTAATATGGCCCTTAAAATGTTAACAATGTTAACAGATGTTAACAATTATTGCCCAAGTGCTACATGATAAAAGGATACAGCAAACTCATTTCTACGAATGAAAAACTGCATTTTAAAAAAGAAACTGCAAAAGAGAGAATGATGTTTGTTCAGTGTTTCTATACATAAAGTTTATTATTATTATTATACTTGAAGTTCTACAGTACATGGGCACAACGTACAGGTTTGATACATAGGTATACATGTGCCATGTTGGTTTGCTGCACCCATCAACTCATTTACATTAGGTATTTCTCCTTTTAAACGGCGGGTGGTGGTGCTTGCCTTTATGAAAACAGATGATTTTTATTAAGCATTTTATTGAATATCAGCGATGCCAAATTAATATCAACAACTAACCAGAATCCCATAGATTAAGAAACCAGGATAAAAATAATAAATGGTGCTTGCTTTACAACCAAGTTAAAGTATAATAATTATAAATCAGGGTGGGACGTAAGATCTGTTGTGTTACTTGTGGGAATGGATCACAAAAGGCATTATGTATACGCTCCATGATTTTAACGTATGTTAAATATTGTTACACATACATTTTTATTTATTGAGGCCCTGTTGCCTGAAAGTGCCCAGATATAAACTGTATGACTCTGGCCTGGTCACCGCCTGCCTAGACAAAGCCCCTTAGTCTACCACTCTCATTCAACAAATATTACTGGGCTTCTATTAACCACCACGCACTTGGCTAAGTGCGACAGTACATAAATAAAGACAACCGCCCCGGACCCCTGACAACATGCACAGGGCACTCATCGCCTCTCTACCCTATCCGAGGACACACAGGCAGACGACCGCAGGAGGGGTCCCCGGTGAGCCGCAGGGGAGACCTCACCTCCCGCGCAGACAGCGGGTCCCCTACCCACGGCAGTGCCCGCTCTTCCACGGTCCCGGCCAGGGCAGAGCGCAGCAGCATCCTCACCCCGCCCGGCCGCCCTCCCACTTTGCCCAGCCGCCAGCGTCTCCACGGTAACCGTACACAAACTACCTCCCGCCGCCGCCCGGGCCGCCAGACTGCGGGGCCAGGCCGCTGCAGGGCGGGCGGAGCCGGCCGGGGAATGAGCTTGGCGAGGGCGCAGGGAAGGAGGCTTTCGGCCTGACCCAAAGCACCTGTGATGAGCGCTGGAGATAGCAGCGGCTGCGAGGTTCAGCTCATCCTCCGGCTCTCCCCGGGCAGTGACCAAGGAAGCGGCGCTGGAGCTGGCGGGGTAGCCCCAGGTCGCCGTTCGGCCACTGGGCCTGCGCGGGTCCCGCCAACGCATGCGTAGAAGCTCCGAGGCGTGGCGACGGCCGGAGCGGGTGGGAGGAGCCTGGAGAGGGTTGGAGGCCAGGAGGTCAGAACAGAGCCGGCGTCATGGACAGGTGTCCGCTTTTAAATTAGCAATTTGCCGAGCCACATTTGTTGCTCCCCTATCGGATCCCAGCGCATCTGTTAAATAACAACAGGCAGTCCGGAAGCTTAATGCTTGCGGGTAAGAAGGATTTACTGGCTCAGGTTAGGGCTCTGTATAACCTGGAGCCACTTGCTGAGCCTCTGTTTCCTCCGATGTCAAGTAGCAGGAAATATTAATAATAGTACCTATGGAGGTCTTGGGCTGTTATGAAGGTTGCATGAGAAAATAGATGTAAAGAGCTATGCACGTGGCAATCAACGAATATTAAACTGTTGGCTGTTATTAAGCCCTTGCATTTGTAGAGCACTTCAGTGTTCGCAGAGTATGCACGTAATCGTACCTTCTGAATCTGAGGAGGCAGCCTGGCGTCCCCATCCACAGGAGAGAAACTGGGGGCCTGAGGTGTAGTGATCAGGAGAAGGAGATTCCAGTCTAGGTCCCCCGTGGCCAATCGTTTTTTGTTCGTGATCACAGTTGAACGGCAAAAAGCACTCCATTTATGTGTTTCTAGTTTAAATTCCCTTCTCTCCTATTAGACCATTTAGCAGCACTTTACGGTGTTAAATACAAGTGAGATCATAAGCACTCTCCATTCAGGTTTGCACCACGTTTTATAAATATGGGGATTTTCCAGCTGAAGTGCTATTTGTCATCAACATTGGAAAAATGCCACTTCCTTTGGTGCTAAGCATCTTGTAAAGAATAACTAAATTGCAAATATTTTTGAGCACATACCATGTGTAAGGCATCGTTCCAGGTGGGAAATGATACTAACCTGAACTAAAGGCATGTAAATATTCTTCAAAATACTCAGGAGGATTTCAAACATAACAGAAAATAAGTACCTATTCATTGATTGGATAATTTTAGGACCCGAAACAAAATATTTTGTGTTCTTCAGGATTAAAGTATTTTCCAGTGACTCAACATGACATATCAACAATTCCCATTTACTGGTCAATGGACTCCATTGTGAAATGGACCACTGCCCGTTTTAAATAAAACTATGTGTTTTGAATTCACAACTTGTGAGACATCATACAATGCCACTTTATTTTGGTCTCTCGCTCTCATTTTAAAATTTATTCAGTGCTGGTTATCTTCTCCTGTCCCTGGATGGGAAGAAATTTGGGGGTAAAGCCCTGGATTTTTCTGCTCATTCTTAGATAACTGATAGTCCTGTCATAACTAAATCTCAACCACAGCTTCATTTCAAAACTATAATGTTGGGTGCAAGTTTTAAACAAATGCATCAAAATTCACAGAAAGTAAGTCTTCCTCCCCCATTCCAGCCCCCGGTTTAAGCTCTCTAGCTGGACTTCCCTGAAGGGGTGCACTAGGCTTAGGCTTGCCCCCCGTCCCAACCCGCCCCCCTATTCACTAGAGGTTGTTTAAGACCCAGCTTGGATCAAACCGGCAGTGAGGAGAAGGAGGTGAAGGAAGGAGATGGAGCATTTCTTCCTGTAGTTGAGCAGCTTCAAGCTTGCCGTGCTGGCCTGTGGTTAAAGCAGCTCATGTAGGTCTTTCCTGATCCTTTGGAGTCTCCCACTGATGGGGACCTCCCTCCTGGGGGCTCCTGAAAATCCTAAAAACACAGGGTTTATTCCAGCTTTCAGTGTCCCTTTAGAGAGGTCCCAAGGGAAAACCCACACATCTGTTACCCTAGTGATTCTGAGAGCTCAGGCCTGTCTGGGTGCAGCCCCTTCCAGGCTGCCATAGGCGGGAGCTTTAGCTTACCCAAGAGTGAGTCAGGCTCCAGTTCTCCAGGCCACGTAACTACAGTCTCTGGCAGTCCCAGGCCCCTGGGGAAGCCCCTCTCGCTGGCTTGAGATGAAGGGCATAGCACCCCACACTCCTTTCTCCAAGGAAGTTTCCCCACACATCTTCCCTTTCCACTCTCTGACCCCTTATTTTTAGCTGCAGCCTGGGTGAGGGGTTGAGGGGGTCTTAGGTTTCTTTGTCACCTGCCCTACGGAGACTCTGCCTCACCTCACTTGGAACTGATGATTACATAATTACCATCTCAGTGGAAACATCAGCCTAAAAACCTCTGGTGCAGCCAATTACTAGCTGTGGTCTCACACCTTAGGATCTTGGTCTAAAATAGACCGTAAGCAAGCTACTGGAACCTGATGCTACCCAACTCAGCTGGCCAGGAAATATCTGCTGGGCAAATTAGAACCATTGAAAAGAATGACATGGGTAGAATTAGAGGAAGCAGTTATTTGAAGCAATGAAGCTCCCCGACTTACCTCACTGCAGGACACTATATGAGAAAATACTTCGGCTGTCACAGCAGTGGCGTATTATACAGACCTGGCTGTTTCTCCACTGTTACCTGATGGCTATTTTACAGAATTTTACATCGGTTTTGTATGTGGCATTGCTTTAGAAACAAAACTGTTGACATGTTTCATATACTTTAGAGAGATTAAAGAGGAAGACAAAGTATTATAAGTATCTGACATTTATAAAGCACTTTATAGTTTCCAAATTGCTTTTATTTGGGACACTTCATTTCTTTTGTCTAATTTGGAGTTTATAAGAAGCCTGGAAAGTAGGTATCTCAATTTGAGATGGGAGGAAACTGAGGTTCAGGGAGGTGAACTGGTCGGCCCACAGGCACACAGCTAGTAAAAGGACCTGAGATCTGGGGTTCTTGATGCCCAAGTTCAGTACACCATGCTGCTATTATACATGCATTTTGTCCCCAGCATGGAAAGGTACTTTGGAGGTTACTGAAGCTGTCAAGCTATGCTCTTTATTTCCTCCTCTCACTTATCCCAGAGTATTTGCTGCATGGGGCTATAGGGATCAAGAGGAACTTAAGAATCTTTACATTCACTTGAAAATGCCTTCTGAATTTCTGGATTTTGAATTAAAGCAAGAATTATATAGGCAGGAGATTGGGTAATGATACGGTTTTATGCAGTCTCAGATGCAAAAATTGCAACAGAATGATGAACTCATAGATGCTTTTCATCCAGACTCTACTAGTAGATTTTACAGTTTATATCATAGTTTCTATCACATATACCTCTTATTTGATATCTATAGCTCATCCTAATTTATGTTAGATATATTTTTGAAAAGATACATGTTAAATAAATACTTCTTTAATGTTCACAATTCCCCCCACTGCCCTCTCCCCCCCCCCCCCCCCGATTTTTATGACTACAACTGAGCTGTGACTCACAGGGGGGAAAAAATACTTCTGGCATGGAATGAAAATTGCCAATTTAGAATTCTAATATTCACTTCAAGACACTTTCTGCTTTTGTCAGTATAGAATCTTGGTGCTTTAATTATATGTATCACACAATATAGTGTGAGGAGTTCATCAAATTGACAGCCTATGCAATCTTTGTATACAAATTTAAAGGCACAAATACATTAAAATGCAACTTGCTGGAAATTTATAATTCAATGAAAATTAACTAACTTCATGGAACTGGATAGACATGAGACTGTGGAATTGTCCTAAAACTTATCAGCTAAAATGTCTATGTAAATCCTGTCTTTATTGGGGCTCAGCTGTGACCTGTGCACCTAAGTATTACTTTACCTTTAAGTACACTATCCCATATCACCCCTGCCACCCCAGGCCACGTGCTCCACCAAGCTGCCAAGCTGTTGACAGGAATGCTAATTAATAAGGGTCCATTTAATTACCAGTGGATTACAGAGTCTCTAAGGACCCTGCATTTCACTGGAAGGGAGGAGGTTCTCTTTTCAGGGAGTGTGTCAGTGTCAGTAGGATTGTAACTATGAATTACTTCATCCTGAACAACTCTTGGATGTTAAAACAGACCAACTAAGACAATCAGAAACCCAATATTCTTTGTACAACTCACTTATGAGACATTACTTAGTGAGCATGCCTGTATCTTTTGGAAGTTTTTGCCTGCAAATAACAGAATATTCCACCAAAAGTAGCTTACACGCCAAGGACATTTATTGTTTTGTTTAACAGTCACTGGAACTGGGCTGCTTCAGGATTGGCCCTACAGCTCAGGGACCAAGGAGGATCAGTCAAGTCTCCCCACATGGTCACAAGACGGTGGTGGCCACACTGAGCTGGGAAAGGGGAAGGGCCCTCTCTATGTGTATCTCTACACTGAGAAGGAAAACATTTCCCAGAAGCCTCTTGGTCACCTTGTCCTTACATCTCATTGGCCAGGCTGTGTCACATGGCCACACACCAGGCCCTGGCAGAGATGGATGGGGCTACCATTTCTGTGGTTGATTTCAATCCATCAAGGTTCATCCTTTGGGTTTGGCGGGGAGGAGCCCACTTTGCTGCCACAACCTGAAGCAAACTGGAGCTTTGTTCAGCAGGAAGGAGGGGTAGTGGCTGTTGGATAGATCTGAAAGACCGCCACAGTGGCCTGGTGACAGGTCTCCCCAGTCCAAATGGGCAACTGTCACAATCTCTCGATTCTCTAATAGAGAGTTGTCCTGAGAATCGAGAGATTGTGGCAGTTGCTTGTCCCACCTGGAGACAGCTGGAGGTGTAACACAAGGCAGGGTGCTCTATCTTGGTACTAACTCTCAGTTGAGGCCTGGTCCCTGGTCTCACTGCGGCTCCATCCTAGCTGCACAGTGGAGTCACCTGGAGAGCTTCAGCACCATCTCCACCCAGTACCACTCAGATGAACTGATTCAGTGCCTGGGGTGGGTGGGAGTATGGGAGTGGAGCCAGCTGTTTAGAGCTGTGGAGGTGACTGTGGTGTGCACAGCCAGCCTGGAGAACCTCAGCCCTGGTGAAGCCAGAGCTCCCCTGCCTGAAAACCTTAGCCACAACCCAGCAGGAGGCAGAGCTGCCTGAAGAATCCCTGGCCTTCAGAACAGAAGG